CTTGCTGTCCTGTCCTGGCTCCGTTACTTTTCGGCCGGAGCTCTGCAGTTCTGAGCTCCGTTCTCTGCAGTAAGGTCTGCCGACCTTACTAATCCATCCTTGCGAACGGGGCTCAGAACTGTCAGAGCTCCGGTGATCGATCGAAAGTAACGGAGCCAGGACAGGACGGCAAGGAGCGGCTGCTCTCATAGTCAGGTACGCGATCCGTGACCGCGTGCCTGACTGAATTTCCACTCGCCCTCTCTTTATTTCCACTCGCCAAATGCGAGCGGGCGAGTGGAAATTTTGAGCCCTGATGTAAGTGATTATACTAAAGATGAAGGGAAATAATAATCCAATATAGAGCTTTCAACAATGTACATATCTTAGGCGCTGCACATAACATGAATGACGAGCTGTTATCACACAGGAAAGCTCAGGTTACAGACCTTCAGGAAAATATGGATGGAAGATAAAAGCATGGAATATGGAAATACCATACGGCCCGGGTGTGGTCTGCTCACCTCCATGAAAAATATATTTCTACTGAAAACATTATTTAGAATTCCTGAACTGTTCTGGATTCTGATTGCATTAAAGCATTTTAAGCATCATTACTCAGTCTATACACTCAGAGTAAGCCTGGCAGCCGGAAGGGTTTCCACTTCAACAAAACTGGTACATTTGAAGCAAAATTATTTTTACCAAAACTTGTTTGCTCATCCCTACTGGCAACATTTTAGGCCAAGTAAAAAACAAAAATCATATTACCAGATTTACCATAATTGCATCCATGGGCCAGGGTTTAGGGCAGGAAGGAGAGAGGGGAACTGCTGAGCCTCAGCCTAAGAATCTGCAATATTTTTCATTTTCCTCTTCTTGTCTGCTCTAGGCACGAATGGCTAAATTCGGCAAGATGACTTTAGGGAAAATGTGTACTGGGGATGTAGAGAGCAGAGCAGTCCAAAGACTCATAACCGACCTCATTCTGTTTCCCTCTTCTGGTCTCCTCTAAGTATAATGGCAAAATTCAGTAAGAGGACATTAGGGGAAAGGGTGCACTGGGCATGTAGAGAACAGTCAGAAGGCTTAAAACCTTATAATCTTTTCTTGCTCTTATATAGCCACACTGTAAAAGTAGGTGGGCATATCAGGCAGCAGGTTTTTGCCAAAAGAACATTCTGGCATTGTTTTTTTACTAATAAAATTACATATACTAGGTGCAGAGCTTGTACAAATGGTGCTCTGAGTGCAACAAGATGGCCACAAACACCCTATCAGGTAACCCACCATTTCCGATAACCCTGCAATTAGGCTTCGGAGCCAAAACAGGTATTCCATATCAGCCCAGAATGGGATGCTGTAAAGCAAACTGCCATTAGTGGCCCTTTTTATGGGGTCCTACAAACTGTTGTGGGCAATTGAAGATTTTCACATCTGCCCTATGTTCTTCTTCCATTGTGATGTTTTGCAGATGTAAGTCTGGAAGTTTATTGAGGTAACATGGGGGAAGTTAGTATGGTTTGCCTCCAAAGTTTGCTGCTAAATAAATCCAAATGACACATGAGATTTCATTGACAGGTGTGTTGGCGTGATCTCAGAGGATCAACGTTCCCTTCCTGTACATCTTGCTGCCGTGTAGTAAGATTTGGGCGAAATTCATTTTTTCCATTGTGGTGAACAGATAGCTGTGTGTCTAAAAGCGTGACCTTGTGTGTCATTAGTACTGATAAGCTTTCTGTCAACTTCCTGGACGTCTGGGAAGGTCAGGAGGCAATAACATGCTGTTTATCCCCTTTTGACACAACGAAGCATAGGAAACAATGTAATTGTATTGCTCTCATTTGGTGGACATCAGTGATGATTGGTGATGATCATTGTGTTGTGGATATAAATATAAACTTTTAGAGTTAATCTTTTTATGAAATAATGGGAAGTTGGGTCTTGGAAAGCTACAGCTGCTGGAACAGCTTTCTTGTTGGCTGATGTATTATAAACATTGTTTTCAGCTATTCAAGCTTTAGGAATAGTCTTTGTTTTAAAGTCTTTGTCCCTGCAAATATCCCTGATTTTGAAAGTTTATGCACAGAAAACATTGTTTATACAAATGTATATTTATATTTCTATACTGACCGACTATAGCAGGGGTGGGCAACTCTGGCCCTCCAGCTGTGCTTTATTTACAAATCCCAACATGCCTCTGTCATGCCTGTAACTGTCAGTCTTGCAATGCCTCATGGGATGTGTAGTGGGACTGATGTTTTGCATTAAAAGAAACCCATTAATTGGGCTGCCATTGCTGACCTCCATCTAAAACTGCTTGTTGTCTGACTCTCATGCTGACCCCCTGGTTACAAAATGTTCACTTGCTGACCTTGAAGAAGCCTGCCAAAAACAAGTTCTGACTTCATTTGCTGCACACTTGTTCTGGGTCAGTGACTTGAAAAAGCTTCAATCCAGGATATCTGCATGATAGCAGGGCAAATAGCATTATCAGAAGAATGTCAGCTATTTCACTCATTAGAAGTTTCCTTGAAGTGATATGTTACTTCATAAACATTTCTCCATTATTATTACAAAACATCTTAATTACAAATGACATAGACTCATAGCTACCGTGTTTCCCCGAAAATAAGACAGTGTCTTATTTTTTTTTTGCACGAAATAAGACACTAGGTCTTATTTTCGGGGGATGTCTTACCTGGCTGGGGGAGGACCGGATGAGGTCCCGGAAGGCGGCGTGCTGTTGACGGTCCTGGTGTCGGCGGATGATATTCCGCTTCCATCGTGCGTGCGAGTGTGTGGGCGGGATCTGCGGCCGTCGGGCGTGTAGGCGGGAGCTGCGTCTGGCGTGTGGGCAAGCGTGTGGGCGGAG